GGCAGGGTTAAGGGACAGAAAAATGTTGGATTTAGAAGTATGATTGACATTAAAAAATGGCAAAGTTAAAGGCGGATCGATTTTTTTCTCTGTTTTTTATTCTAATAAGCTGAAGGGGGGGGGAATAATTCGTAAGTATCAATTGCTAACTTCAGAATATATGCTTTTCTTTCTTAAGGACACAAAATCATTGATGTAAGTTGAGCAGTTGTGCTATGAAAGGACTTTTCCCCACCCACATATTGAAATGCCGTTCTAGTGCAGGAAATGCAAAGAATTTATGACGCCACATTTGGAAAGGAGAGATTTCCTGTTTGGCTTAAGGACCTTTGAATGAATTAAAGGGACGAATTTTAAGGGGGAAGTTTTATGACAGGCTAAGAACACAAAGTTTCATTCAGATGCTCAAACATTAAGCGGCCAAACATTACAATTAATTTCTGGGGTAAATTGCTTTTTTTCATTAGATTTATTGAAATTTATTACTTTTTCTTCACTCATGGGAGAAGGAAATGGAATGGATGAATATTTTTACTTGAAATAATGAGTAAATCAAATATTTATCCAATTTTTCATATCAAAATTTTCAAAATATTCTTACATTGCAGATAAAATGCAGGCTAGGAATTCTTTAAAATCCCTAATCGAGAAGGAAATCTGAAGGCAAAGAACTCGTAAACTATATCTTACTTACTAAGCATATTTTAATTCTTGAGGATTTACTTGATTTTCTTTAGAAAAGAGAAAAGCTGTGGTGTTTCTTAACCTGTAAATCTACCAAAAATTCCACTTATCTGTAAAAGATAATTCTGAAGACATTAAATTTGTTTTGAAAGTATTACATTAATTTCCCTTCGTTTGAAAAAATACAATAAATTGCAATTCATTTCAACAACGTGAAAACTTTAAGCATATAATTCAGTAATGCACAATAATTTGTATGTTATTTAAATGGAATTGAATTGAATTATTATATAATAATAACGCACTTGAGGACTATTTGCCTAAAGGGAAGAATGCCTTCGTGAAGTACTTTCTAATCGTTATTTGAAATGAAATTTTACAATTTACTTTACTTTTGCGTTTAATTTACTTTCCACAGCATTCAATACGTGAAATCATCAATAATAATATAATAATTATAAAAATGGCATTACACAACTAAAAGTAGATACTACTTCATAAATTTTGATAAATTAATTACTGAAAATACTAAACATATCAATGGCAGCATTGCCCTAATAGTTTTAAGTTGCATTTTAACATTTGAAAAAACACGGATTACATTGCTATTTTCACTACAGAAACGAATGGGATATTTCAGAAAATAAGTCTGCTCCACTACTGCAATATTTCAATAATTTTCGCGAATTAAAAAAATTAATTAATACATTTTAATAGTAAATGATGCAATTTTCACTCATAAAATCCCTTTGTACATTATTATCTTTCATTTTGGCACCACTGCATAACTTTTCTTAGACATAAATAGCTTCCGTTAATATATGTTCATATACATTATATTGGCTTTTTATATTCTTGTCATAAATTAATGATTAAGATAAAAAATTGATACTGCTTAATTTATGAGCAATGTAAAGACTGGAAATCTGAGTTCATTAATTTCTGACACATAAATAGCTTTCCAAGATGCAAATAAAACAGATAACAGTAATCCTAAATATTAATGCTCCTAAAATATATCCACTTTTCCTAACTGATTTTTGCTTTTTGATCCACCTGGGGTACAACAAACCTATTTTCATTAAATGAAGTTTTGCGCATTTCTCTACGAAGTATGCAAAACTTGTTTCATATAACTTTATTTTTACTAATTATGAAGAAATGTTATGTTAAATGTTATGTTTATGTACACATAAATACTTGTTTCTTAAACAAGTATTTATGTGTACTACTTTAGAATCCATGCGAAAGAGTGAGTACTCATCTTCAAATATACGTTAGTGTCAATAAGCTTAACTACACATTATTAAACATTTCTGTGAACTTGAATCTTGGAAGCGAATTGTCATATTCTGCTACAGCAGGTATTTAAATTTAGATAAATCCTCATATCATAAGTATTTTGTGTTTAATTTTAAAATTTCCATTTCGTATTACACAGTCATTTTCAAAGCTCTTTGGATACAGATCAATAAAATTTGTTTCTACCTGTTTAATATTTCATCCTAAACTTGTGGAAGAATTTCCTAAAATTATTTGAATATCCATAATTTTTAGTGTTAAATATTTAATAATTATACATTAACTGAAATATATTTATAGTACAGAGGAAATGTAGAAAGATATTGCAGGTCATGCATTATGTATCATTGGAATATGACAATAATAATAGTACAATTTGACTGAAAAAAGAAAACAGATGTTTCAGCATTTTAAAAGGAAGTCAACATCTTTACAGCAAAATCTTAGATGAAAGTTTTCCTGTGACACAACTTGGGAAGACACTGGAAATTTATAATTGAGGCGAGGTCCCTTTCTTTGCTAAACAGTTGCGTTGACGTGTGAAACGCTACCCCTGAAGTATACTTATAATTGGCTGATGACTCAGAACAGTAAACTGAACTTAAACTTGCTCTTATTCTAATGCCATTTCTCTAGTCTATGGTGAGAATGAACAGAAATTTTTCTTTAAAATTAAATTCTAACGTGATCTCAAATATAAGTCTTCATTATAAAGGTAAGTTATTGATTTGCAATACTACATAAGCTAAATTCTTATGATTTAAAACTTGCTAAAAATTCAATTCACCCAAACTTTTAATCATTTATCTGAAAATCCAAACTTATCACCATTAACAATGCAAATGTGTACTAATATTAATAATGTATTGTTATATTAACATGAAATATTTTGATGATAAACACGGAATATAGATATAATATATGTTTCCATACATTAAGAAGCATAATAACAGGCCAAAAGTTAAAAACAAAATTTTTTAAACACGTCCTGCGCTATAGCTGTAGTATCGATCAATCAATCAATCAACTCGACAATCGAAAATCAATCGACTTGAATGGAACTCATCAACATCTAAGAAGCGTTTCTATTAATATGCAAGATATGTGAAACAAGTCTGAAGACATTATGAAAGAAGCTGAGTTTATTGAAAATAAATGGGGCATAGAAACTAAATTTGAAAAAATAAAGACAAAAAAAAAAAAAAAAAAAAAAAAAAAAATTGATGAGTTATGTGAGGATAACAGGCTTGAAAATTTTGAAATGTCTTTTAAAGTAACAGTTTTTTGTTCTGATCTCAACATTTTAAATACTCAGTTAAAGTACAGAATAACAGAAATATCAAAAATCACAATGATGTTTTCCCTTTTGGAATGTCATCATTAACAAATACGGAAATTATTAATAATGTTTCAAAAATACAGAAAACATATAAAGAAGACTTTGCTAATGCGCATGAAGTACAACTTATATTATTTATAAATACTTTCAGAACCGAAATATAAAATTTGAAATCCGTTAAGGATTCTAAATTAGCAATTACCACTGCTAAATTAGCAATGGTAAAATACTATGACATGACAAGCAGTTATTCGGGAGTGTACAATTCACTTATATTGTATTTATATATAATACCTGTAACCACAGCCATGAGTGAGAGATCATTTTCAATAATAAATATTTAAGAAACACTATGATACAAGATCGACTGTTAAACCTATCACTATTGAGCGCTGAAGCTGAGATGGCTGAGAAAATGGATGTCCAGGTATTGATGAATAATTTTTCAGAAATGAAGGTTAGGACACGCAAATTTTAATAAAGAAGGATTTTTGTCTTTATGATGAATTTTGGCCACCAGTGTTATAATTACACTTATTAGGAATAAAGGAAGAGAAGAACAGCAGGCTGAAGGAAAATTAAAAGGAAATGGAAAAAAACTTTAGTATTCATATTCTTTATAAAAGTCATGTATTCAAGTAGTTTAGTGTGCCAAAAGGATTTTTATGACAGAAAAAACTTTACGTATTTTCTACAAAAATTGTACATTCAAATAGTTTTTGTTATGAAGTTTATGATAAACATGTTTTATATTTAACAAATGTATCATTAACATTATAAAAGTTCTTATTTATTACTTGTATATTATTGCATAAATCATGTTCGTAAGCTGAGTAAAACAGAGTACTATATATTAACGTAATATCTTTTCTGTATGTTTATCAATTATCTTGTCTGTCAGTTTATAATATAACCAATTATTTATAAGTTTGCTAAATTAAGCAAAAAAAAAAAAAAAAAAAAAAAAAAAAACTTAGACAGGCACAGATTTTATATAAAAATTTAAAACATTAGTATGTAAAACTTCTTGGATTTTATATAAAAATCTCCACAAATGAATAAGTCTATATTAAAAAAAAAAGGAACATGTCGCCGTATAGCATTAAGCAAAGACTTTCTTCCTTTTCTTAATGCTATACGACGACATGTTCCTTTTTTTTTTTATATAGACTTATTCATTTATTATCAGTATGTATCTCAGTGAAAGGAGAGAAAAATCTGTCTCTTGCACTCACACAAAAAGTCTTAAATAACTAAATTAAAATCATATGATGTCAAAAACCCAGCCTAGGGCAAATTTGCATTTCACCAGTTAGTCAAGGGAAAATATTTTCCTTTTTATTCTTTCTTCATGTTACGTACCTTTCAACTAGTTCCCTAAGAACGTGCTTTTCTTTTTTAACAATTAATCCAGATGTGATAAAAATCATCATGAAAACATTGGCTCCTGGAATCCTCGATTTTTTTTAAACTTTTAACTTTTTTTATTATTATTTTATTTTTAAGCACATTAACTTTATTGGCATATGGGCCCAGGAAATGTTTTTGCATCGGGGCCCAAGAGTTCTAGTTACACCACTGACCACTGCTTGCTAAAATATGATTTTTTTTTTTTAATATTTGCACATAAGCCTAACAGAAGATATATATTATTAAATAGATTGCAGATATTTACCGGCACCAATACTTGCTTGTCTTGCTGGAGCTTGTCCAATATTAGCTTGTAAAACACAACCCATAAAAACTTCTTGAACAGCATCTTTTTGTATTCCTAATTTAAAAAATTACATATCTTTTAGGACCATTTGTGGCACTTGGGATATCTGGAACCAGAAACTGCAGTAGGCACCAATAATAATTTGGTAATAAATACCTGCTTCACAGTGTTATAACACAGGACAATTAAATCATTTCCTTCAAAATCCCTACAGCAAAATCAATAAGTTACACGATTATGAATCCAAAGATGATTGAATTCATAATCCAGAGCAGTGGATAATTATTATTCTGTTTGAAGAAATCTTATTTTCTACTTGAAAGATATATTTCAGACCACAGCTAGGTAGCATCCTTCACCAACAGCAAGCAATATCCAGCATCAGTGGCCAGACCACTAACACAGCTACTGTAGAAAATAATACAGAGATTGCCGGCAGAGTTATTTTGGTGCCTACCATAGTTCCAATTACGGATAACCAACAAGTACTTCATTTGCCATTTGATAAAACAATTTTTAAAGTATATACAGGATGTGCGAGGTATTTGAGAACACAGCATTAGCAATCAACACAATTCATAAATGGACTTCTGGTACATAAAGACATAAGGTATAAATCATATGTGATTGAGGAGAGGGCAGTTCATTCACGAAAAGATCCATGAGAATTGTGCAATTCAGTCAAAGCATTTATTGAGCAAACTGAAGCTCCACATGCTCTGGTTTAGATAAGGAAAACTATGATCAAGATCAAAAGCTGAATACGTAAATGAGTGGCTCTCATACTTGCCAACCTATGACGCTAAAAAATCAGGAGATTTTTCACAATGTTAAAAAGACATTTTAAATGATAAAAATATAGTTTTTAATAATGAATTAACTTTAAATAGTTATTAATTCTTAAATGCAAGCAATGCAAAAATGCCTTACACATGAAAAACATTTTTATTACTTGCGTCGTTTAAGGAAAAAAAAAAGCCACTTTAATCAGTTTTTGTACAAATGTTATGAACAATGGAAGATTTTGCTTTCATTAAGAAAGAAACTTCATAATTTTGTTCATAGCAATTGAAACGTAGGCCTGCTTTTGCTAATAAAAGTTTTTCTAATGTGTCATCACTAATATTAGATCTAAATTTAATCCTCGTTTTCCAACAACACTGAAAATCCCCTCACACTCTGCATTGCTATGGGAAACTGTCAAGATGGCCAACATAATTCTAGACAGTTCACTATATTTTAAAATTCCATCAGCACCTTTCAATTTTCCAATTAAACTCCACTGGGCTGATTCAATCCTAGCTGATTTTATAAGTTCATCCAAAATCTCTAATTTTAAACTGCAAAATTGCGACTGCATTATATCAGTGGCAACATCAACATCATCATTTTTCATGATTAAATGAAGTAACACAGTAAATCTGTTCAAAAAGTACCTTATATCAGAAAAAGATGAATCTGCAGAAACATCAGCAACTTTAGCATGCAAAATCACTTCCTTGTTGACTGGAAATTTATGTAGTAAGCAATCACATACTCGAGAGAAGTAACTTCTAACATGAAGATAAAACTTATTTTTGTCTTTTTCTGAAAGTTCTTCCACTACTTTTGTAGTTCTGGCTCCTATTACCAAATCTTCATATTTCTTCTGATTTTCTATTTCACCATAAACCACATCATGTATAGAATTACAAGACAAAACACAGATTGGTTTTACAAATTTTGATAAAATGTCTTTAAACAGATCATAAATCATTGATTGCAAAACATGAATTAATGGAATTCTGCTTTGTAGATCTGTGTTAAGAGCATTGAATGATGGCAAAATGAATTGTAAGAAAAAAAAAAAGCAAAAAGCTTTGTTAAGGTCCGAAGAAAGAAACATAATATTTGTTCATCACAAGAGAAACTTACAGTAATCGAAAAATGTTTCGTGTGTTGAGCAATTTTTTATTTTGAGAGAAATTTGTATCAGCTTTATGCTTATATTTTGCAGTATTATTTTGAGAACTACCAGTTGAATTGCTGAATGGTACAGAAATTACTTTATTTTTCTCAAACCTATTTTTACCAATGGAAGTAGTAACTACAACTCCATTTACTTTAGGTATTTTATAACTTTCAATAGAGTCCTTTATCTTAACTCTCGAAGCATTTACTTCTTCTTTAAAAAATGCAAGAAGTGGGTTCCATTGATCGAGGATTCTAGATAAGCATTTCTTTAAACACAGCCAGCGTGTACACATGTTTCAAAAATTTTCTCATTTCAGTATTATGCAGCTGTTGGAATTGTTTAAATTTTTCCTTCCTTTTAGAACTCCTTTCAAGATAATAATAAATATCAACAATGTGTTCATCCACATTTATTGGTAGAGAAGTTGCCCCTTTTTCAGCTGCTAAATTTAAAAGGTGACAGGTGCACTTCATAATCTGCAAATCTGAATTTTCCTTTCTTAAGAAGCCTGCAACACCAGTCTTCAAGCTTACCATTACTGTGCATTATCGACACCAAGTGCTAAGCAATTATCCAGAGGGACTGCAATTTCTTTTAAAGTTATAATAATTAGCTGTGCTATATTAAAGCGTAAAGTGGGGACAGAAAGAAAACTGCACTCAATTTCTGAAGACTCTGGATTAAAAAAATAAACAACAATTGGATACAGTTTTGAATCGGTATTATTGCTTCCATCCGTAGAGAGGCAGAACGGAGCTGTTTTAAATGCAATCAATAACTGAAGATTTATTTTTCAAACCCATTTCTTTAACAATTGCACCTGTTTTGGTCCTTGCACTTGTGTATTTCTTAGTGATTTCACTATCAGGAAACATTTTTCTAAATAAAGCTGCAGCGTGATAAGATGCATTCAGTGGCAGGTTGTGCTCCATTAAAAAGGCAGAGAACAGACATTCTGCATTAATAACTTTTTGGTCCTTTGTTTGCGAAGAAAAATTTAATTTTTCGTTTTTTTCAAAACAACTCATGTTGTCCTTGTGTTTTTGTGTACACACATGTTTGAGAACATCCGCCCTTCCACCATGCGAAATCGAAAAATCGCAATGACAGACAATACACATCGCAAATTTATTACATTTCCTTGAGGAATAATGGAAGGAAAGTCAACTGTGTATGATTTTTGAAATGTACACGAGTATTTCACCCTTTCTCGCAGACATAACAAAAGATGATAATTTCTATAACTATTTCCCAAATGCACATGTGCTTACACAACTCGAACAAGATGAACGAAATAAATAAAGAACATCCAAATAACAGCCTAAAGCTTGCTTTGTGCACATTGCTAATATACGCCAGATGACACACAATGGAGCTCGATGCCCATTAGAGAACTGAAGAATGACATTTTTGGATATGTATGCTCTCACTCATAAAATAGAAATTCCCATGTGATTCGCAAGGTTTTGTTTTAGATATAATCTAAATTCAATTGCTTTCAGACGTCCAAAAACTTTTTTTTTTTTTTTTTGTTCATATCAGGAAGTATTAAGCTAAGTTCCATAAAAATCATGAGAAATTTTAAGAATAAGGAAAAGTTGGAAGAAATATATTGTAAATCGGGAGAGTTAGCAACTCAGGGCTCTGCATAACATCAGCTGAGGTCCTCACAGTTATGTACAGTAACTTCTTATCATTTGTGATAGTCTTGGGGGGCATGAACCACAAGGGAGATGTCATGCCACCTCACTTCTTCACACAGGGGCTTCAAAAGTCAATATGGCTGCCTACATCAACATACTGGAATGGCTATCAATCCCTGGATAAAGGGGATGAACCAGAGAAGATTACACATGTTCCATCAGGACTCCACTTCTTTTGACTCAGCATATGCGACAAAAAAGTGGCTGTTCAAGAATTTTCACAATCATCTGACCTCCTAGTTCTCCAGATCTGATCCTCTGGATTACTACAGTTGGAATGTTGTTGACAGGGAAACTAATAAGCAGTCTCCAGTTGTTGACAGCTACCATTGTGGATATCACACCAACATGAATAAAGATCACCCAATCCTGGCATGCAAGCATTTTCCAAATTTGCATCGAAACCATCACTAAAGCTTTAAGCCAATTTCATTTAATAAGATTTTACTACACAAATGTAAAAAGAAGTGTATCAAATTCTGTGGCAATACTATTCATTTTTCTCCTAAGAGTATTTGTTTACTTTAAATATTTTGTTACTGAATTGTTTACTGTTGTTTACTGAAATATTTTGTTCTTAAATTCTTCATGCACCCTGTATATAGTTTTAGCACATTATACTTAAATACTCCTAATTTACAAAAGGATAAAAAAAAATTTTTTTTTCAGGTTTTTAGACCGAGATAATGTTTACAAGCTACTTATATTATTAGATGGGGGCAATGTTGACAATCTGAGATGTAAAGTTTACAAGCTTTCTTCAAACGAAATTCTGAAGCAAGTTTGGTTACTTTTGAATTAGTCAGCAAGTTTTTTAAATCAGCAGAGGAAATCAATGTTATACAATTTATTAAAGATAGTAGTTTTAAAATGTTTACATAGTTATTTAAAACATTCTGAAATCTTACTTGAACCTCCCCCCCCCCAAAAAAAAAGAGAGAGAGAAGAGGAAAAGAAATTCATATATATATATATATATATATATATATAAAGAGAAGAAAGAGAAAATACAAATTCATTTCCGGCTAACTCTACCATAATGATCATTAGAGAGTAAATTTATGCAATTATCACAGTTTTAATTATTATAGGTAAAAATCAAGTTTTATAAGCTAGAAGTATTTATACACAGTTTTTTTTTTAGACCATTATAAGCAGAATGTAGATGACAGTGAAAAACATTTCATTGAAGTAATTAGATGGATATGATAAATCGGTACTATTCCGTTTTGAGTACCATAAAAAATTGCAGCGAAAATATATGGGCAAAAGCGCCAAATCTAGCAAATGCACCTATTTAACAGGGCGTCAAATCTAGCATATGCACTGATATCTGATTGCATAAGTTTATAAAATTCTATATTTCTTAAGACGCCATTGAAATACTAGTTTAATTTTTAAATCCTTTTTTAAAATCCTATGGATTTAACAATTTGGGAATTGCCCATGACGAAAAGTCGGCAATAGAATTTTGGGTAAAGTGCAGAATCACCCACTGCTTGACGCCTTTTTAAGAATTGCACATACTCCGTATCCATGTGCACATCGACCTATTTTCACTTAAAAAAAAAAATCCCAGAATTGCACAAAAATGGCACTGCGCACACCCTTGGCTTTATCTATGTACAGATTGACCTATTTTCACTTAAAAAGTAAAAGAAAATTAACAAAAATCCAATTGCTTTCACCCTTGTAAAAAGCGGAAACAAATACGTGGGCGATTCTACACTTTACTGAGAATTTTTTCAAAGAAAAGGCATCATTCATTATAGAAAATTACACTTGAACAACCAACGAGATGAAATTATGCTTTAGCGATAAGTTAGTAGCGAAATAGCGATGCAGGCATCCATTCAGTTATGTTTAGCAATTTTTATATAAATTATAATATTGATCTGAAATAGTTATTTACTCGTATGCTTTCATTCAGTCATGTTTAGCTTTTTTATATAAATTATAATAATAAAAAAGTATTATATGAAATTAATCTTTCATCTAAATTAAAACATCAATCTTTTAGGTAGTTATTTACTATTATACTTCCTTTCTTGCGTTAGGGTTGCCGCAATTATTTTTGGCAGCACTGGCATCAACAATAGTTTGGCGATTTTTTACGGCCCTCAGAACCAAATAGCACCAATAAATCCAATATATTTTCACAATCTTAGACAAAAAAACTTAGACCTTAAAAAACATATGTAGTATATATAATTTAAATCTAGGCTATTTAGTAATCCAAATTTTTTATGAAAATGCTATGTATTTTTCCTTGTATTTTAAGTTCTAAATAATTTAGTTCCAGTAAGAACATCTTTTATGTACAATATAATAATTCAAAAAAGAAACATACATACATGAATTCATAGACAGAAGAAATTTAATTCAAGCAATAGTTGAAAAGTATTACACATTGAATCAAGCATTGTTTCAACTTTAATACTAGGCCAAAGAATTTAATCAACAGCATAAACTGTTCGCAGCTAGATTAGTGTTGCCCAAAAAATTATAGTCATAAATATATTCCATATTTCTTTTCCTTTATACATTACTCTCTTTCTAGAATGAACTGTACATATACACTATTGTTAAAAACAAAGAAACAAGGACAGTAAAAGTTTTTTTTTTACATATATTTTGAAAATTTAGACTTGGATTGTCTGATATGCTAGCAAAGAAAATGTCCAAAGCAGTTAAAATATTCTAATAATGTCACAGCTTTTCTACTCATATTCTAAATTAAAAATCTAATAAGAAAATCTTAACATATAAAAATTTTGGTGTTTGTATTTTTGAATAACTTTTGCGAGAAATTGGTTTTATTCAAATTCTTATATCTAGGTCTTATTTTAGACATTTCAAGTACACATGATAAATAAAGTCTGTCATTTAATGAATGTTTAAATCATTATGCAAAATTCACTACATTTCATTTACTACTTATCACTGCATTATAAGTGATATAGTATGGTGTTTAAAGCAATCTAATATCATTATAAAATACCTGCATTTTCAATAGCTCCATTGATAGCTATGCTGCCGAGCTGAACAGCTGATAATGATGAAAGTGAACCGCGAAAGGATCCAATAGGAGTCCGTGCACTGGAAATAATCACAACATCCTGCTCAAAAGCAAAGTAAAAAAGAATAAATGAATAATAAATAAATAAATGTCATAATAAATAAGTTAAACATTTTAATCAGCCACAGGAGAAAAAGTTATGTTAGCAGACAGTGACATAAATTGGAATATGCAAAGTGGACACATAGGTCCAAAGCCTTAGGGGGCCTTGCACATCCTCATGATCTGATGTCTAAAATTTAATTTAGAAGACAAATAGAAACTAACTTGGGACACATATACACTGTTGCAGATGAAAATAGAGAAAAATATCAAATGAAACCAAATCAGAATACAAAATGAAAAAAGCTACATATTTTATCCGAGATGAGCATTTTCTAGTCATTAATGATGACGATCATTAGTGATATGTATGAATTACAAACTAGCTTTAAGTTCTTTCATAATGGCTGAGTTCCAAATTTCTTGAGGCAAGAGTACGAGAAAGCCCTTCACATTACTGTTACACATCAGATTTTTTTATTAACATTTAGCAAGTAGCTTAAGATAATTACTGTCTCTGCACACTGTTGACTACATATCCATTCTTGCTTTCAAAGCTTGGTTAGGTAATAATTTACTTACTTACAAAGTTCTCATGGAAGTGTTTTAACATTGAATAAAATTTAAAAAAAAAAAAAAAAAAAATTAAAACCCATTTCCTTCTTTCCATTCTATTTAAATTCCTATTTCTCGTTTCACAGTTTTCTACATTAAGAAATTTCTTCTTCAATTGCCAGCTGAGCTGACTAATTTTTAACTTTTCTGGCACGCATTAATTTCAATACTTGATTCTTTTTGGATAAAATTTTAATAAAAGTTCTTTGCCTAATACGAAATGTATTTTTCCTACTTATAATGAAGTCTTATTCAATATGATAAGACAAATAAGAATTGATATAAGTATATTTTTAACAATGTTTCATTCTAACCAATTGACAATGGTCAGAACATTGCTTCAAGTTCTACAGAAAAGGTAATGAGCATTTTCTGTTACAAACACATTTAATATAGTCTCATCAGCTGTAAGCTTTTTTTTTTTAATCAGTTACCATAATGAAAGGACTTGCTCCAGTCAGTAGTCACCTAATAGTACTAATATTTTCAACAAGCCCATCTTAGAATCAGAATATACAGATATTCATCTTGGAAATCGGTGAAAAATTAAAGGCAAAGGACGGCAATAAATTATTTTACATAAATACTGCACACTTTCCTAAAAAATGAAAAGACACCCAAAATATATTTTTCTTAAAAATCAAGCAATACTCTAATAGTAACAGAAGTTTTCCCTACTTGGCATAGCCTAGGAGAATTTTATCTTTTGTAGAGGCATCATAAATCTCGAAAATCTATCTATCTAGAAGAAGCTTTACATAAATAATGAAGTGTTTTAAGAAGCTTCCCAGGAATATTATATCTTAGGTTTTTTTTATATGTATTTGGAGATAATTTTATGCATATAAATGTTTAATCACAGTTTTAACATGATGGCTATGAGCATGATTCTATTTGTAATACTTAAAAGTCATTGTTACAATTTTCATTTCAGAGTTAATTTCTTGAAAATAAATATGTTTAAAAGAATTACATTACAAATACATATTAATACAAATACAAAAGTAATGTATATATTACATTACAAATACATATTAAATACAAATTAAATTTGTGGTAAAAAATGCTTTGAAATAAACTATACAAATTGAAACCAATTCTATGATTTATTTACAAAAATTCAAAATTTCTTTTCCCGCAATTAAACACATGGCTTAGTAATTAGCTTCATTTGCATGCCAAATGTTAAACCATAATAGTACAGAACATATACACCTTAATTCATTACAAATTCATTATTTTAAAAATGTTAAAATTTTAGTTAGAATAAATTTCATGAAATTTAGAGGATTTCATATAAAATCTGACTATGTTAAATTTTCAGTTGATATCAAAGTTTGGTAATTTTTAAATTAATGAAAAATTGTAATAGCAAATATTTTAAGGCGGAAATAAAAATTTCATAGAAAAAAAACTCTTTTTAAAAAAATTAAATAAATTATAACCATAAAATTTCTCTTAAAATTAGTTAGAGACTTAAAAGACAATTACATAAAATTACTGAAAGAACCAAGATTCATTCCAAAAAATAGTCTTTTTAAGAATCTTAGCAAAACTTTTAATGCATCCATAGCCTTTTACAAAAACACATTAAAGGGGATTAGTTTATGTATTTCACAATATAACCCAAATCCTTACCTATATGCAACTTTATTATATGATTGGTTAAATGAAATGACAAAGTATAAAAAAAGGTTTTGTGGCAATAATATATAATTAACATGATTAACAGCATTGATTTTCCAAGTGGGGGAGCATGCATCACAAAGAAAGCACAACAACATCTAAATAGGGATGCTGGCCCAGCAAGCAGTATTTGACCATTTGTGCCCACCGCACCACTGCATCCCCCTGCCATACAGCACTTGCATCTTAGTTTTGAGCCAAAAATTGTGTAAGTTAAGAATGAAAGCTTTGTCAAATCAGGAGTGGCTGCATCAGATCACATAGAGAAAACTATACTCCAAGTTTACTTTACAGGGGCTATCCATCCAGCCTTAATATGTTTTTGTGCATGCAAGCCGGCAAATAGCTATCGAACCAGATCCACCCTTAAAACCAGGTCACATTTGTTAAGAGTTTAAAGTTTTGTGATACTCAAAATCGCATTTGCCCCTCGCTCCCTATTTTAACTTTGCTAATATTTCTTTATGCTTGATCAGACAGCCTGGCTCAGTAAAAGTAGGCGGCCAGTGCAACTCTGATTAAAAATCTAGTTATAACCACGTGCAGTGCTGATAAGCACCACGTGTTCCTGTGATTCCTATTTTCTTCTTTCTATGTATTTCTTTCTCCTGATGAGGAGGGACCTTTAGCTGCCCTCGAAATCGATTGAGTGTTTCATTATACCTACGCTAAATATAAGGTTGTTTTTTACGATTTTGATTGTCACATTAGCGTGTTTCTCTTCTAGTCTAGTTTTGTGATACTGTTCTGTTCGAGCTCTGGATAGACAAGTTACATGTATTTTTAATGTCAACTGGTTTAGTAATTTTTTATCCTTGTCATGAGTTTGGCAAAAAAACGCAAATAGAATGATAATATTAAATATGGTTTTGTTACTATGCAAAAAAAATGCTGTTGATCAGCCGCAATGTGTTATTGTTATGAAGCATTAAGCAATGATGCAATGAGACCTTCTAATCTGGTGTGACATGTGTTGACAAACATAGTGTGTTAAACGACAAACTGAAGGAGTTTTCTGCTGCAAATTGTGCATAATTGAAACATCTGAAATTGGATAATACTGGATCCTTTGCTCAGTTATCTGAAAAAGTGCTGAAAGATTCATACCAGTTATTCCTACTCATTGCAAAGGTCAAGTAAAGTTATATTATTTATTATTGGAGAAACATTTGTCAAAACTTGCCTGTTGAAAGCAGCTGATATTGTTCTTGGACTAGAAAATAAACAAAAGCTTTCACATTTTTCACTTTCTGATAGCACTCTGAAACATCATATTGATGATATTTCCGAAGACATTAAAAATTAGTTAGTGGAGACAATGAAATAATTTAATTTTTTCACAATATAGTTGGACACAAGTACAGATGTTGCAAAATGTTGTCAACTGTTAGTTTTCATTTTGTTCACACAAAATGAAACAATTAAAGATGAGATGCAGTGAACAACTGCTTCAAAAGCAATTCATACAGCTTCACAGCAATCTCTGAATATCTATAATAATTCAGAGATTGATTCAGAGATTGATTTACAGATAATTAATTGTTAGTATCTCAAATCCTAGTCTGAATATTGACAAACTCAAAAAAATTTCCCAACACAGGAATTTTCAAGCAATTTGAGGCAAGAATAGCGAGATGTGATGTTGGTGTAGGAGCAGCATCCTACATGATAGAGAATCCATTCCCTGAAATTATTGGGAAAGGATGTGTTCAACCTCTATTCCCATTCTGTTAACTAATTTTTCACAGGTGTTTTACTTTGCAAGCAGTAGGGAAAAAGAAAAGAAAAGAAAAGAAAAAAAAAAAAAAAAAAAAAAACTGAAAAAGTTTTTTTACAAGTAAGCAATTCTAAATGTAAATCATTCAGGGTTCAAAAGTGTTTTCTAAATCAGTATGTGCACAAGTCATTAAGGAATACTTCTAACTTCTCATATTACAAATATGGATCTTTTCTTATTTAATTCAAAGTAAATTGAAAATCTTATTAATTGGAAATGTGCTATATAGAAATGATGTAAAAAGTTACATCTAGTTACTTCTACAATCTAGGCCCTTCTACTGACACTACAGATGCTTTTTTCATAAACTTATTTACTTCCTTAAGAGAAAACTGTATGATTGGATGTATACATCTTGGATCAATAGATTAGGAAATAAGACTGCAGAAACTTTTCCAAACACCCTTCATCCCAGAGTAAAGAAATTAAAATAAATTTTTCACTTTTCCAAACCTTGTAATGAAACTCTCCAGTGATTGAAAACTGATGATTTATTCTGCTTTCAATATTATTAATTTCCAAAGGAAAAATTAATGGGAAAATTTTCATTTTTTAAGTGGCTTTATTTATGTTACATAAAAAAAGAACAGCATTAATATAGTCAAATGTTTCTGTGTCCCATAAGCAGCTACGAATTTTCAACAATTTCACTATTCGGGCATTGGTTGCCACACTACCTGAAGTTTGTAAACTAAGTGAATCAAACAAGAAAAGCATAAAATGTTTAATATACTGTACACTTAATTTTACACAAAGTTTAATAAACCAGGATTTTATAATGATGATCCAGCCATCAATTTTATTAGCCATGTTAGTAAGATATAATATTACTACTTTAAAAAAATTATAGAAGATGGGAAGAACTGAATGAAAAAAACTTCAGCATATGTACTTTAACATCAAACACATATTCAAACAAT